TCCTGAGGAGAAAAAATCTGCACACTTTGATGCATTCTCCTGGAACAAAAACACTCGATGGATCAAATTCTGGTTGAAGATCAAACAGAACAAAATCAGGAAAATTTTTTAAATAGATGGGGGCTGTTTTCAGTCAAATGTAAAATTTCTTTTTCTTCTTCTAGAGACACATTTCATTTTACTGCTGCATCAATTTCATCTTTTCTGTGATCCCTCCAATATTCTCTGAGAGGATGTGACATGGTTAAGGACCACGTGGGATAACTATGACGGAGGGGTTGAGCCTGCTGGGGACATGCACAGGCAGCCTGGCAGCATGGGAATCAGAAGCAGCCTGGGTCCCTGATCCCTGAGCCTAAAGACACACTATCATTTTCCCTACAGGTACAGGAAAAAGCAATCCTCAGAAAGGACTGCTATTATCACCAGAGTAAAGCTTGACATTCCAATTTTCCAGAGGAAAAGTGCATGGATAGTAAGTCCGATCACAGATCACCAAAGAATACTTGCAGAATTCTTATAACACTCTACCTTGTCACATTCTCTATCTCTATCCCCACATATGTATTCTGCTTTATTTGTCTTTATAACACTTATCACTCTCTGACATTGTATTAAATATCTATTTATTGCCTGTCCCTCTCACTAGAATACAAACACCAAGAGGGCAAGGACTTGGTTTGCTTTGTTCACTGCTGTATTCCCAGTGCCTAGTACATGGCCTGGCATATAGCAAAAGGTCAATAAGGGTGAGTTGGATGAATGAATGAATGTGGAGAATACTAAAATTTAAGCTCATAGCCACTTGGACTGGGTTCACAGCACAAAGCTGTCCTATGATCATACAATTTATTTGCAAATGCATAGCTTGAGTTTTAGAGCACTAACAGACGGTTTGACATTCAAAAATGTCCATATGCTTTAACCGAAAAGTTCTACCTCTGGGAGATAGCCCAAATTCAAAGATTTGCATACAAAATGAAAAATGTCTGTGGCAGTTTTACTTATAATAGAGAAGACTATAAATAATTTATCAATATTATCAATAATTTGACATTTACAATTTAATAAATTATGGTATATCTTTAATATAGAATACTATGTAGCCACTAAAAATGTTCCATAATGAGTTTTAATCTTTATATATAAAGGCTTATGATAAATTGCTATGTGAAAAGAGTAAAATCACAGTTAAATATACAGTATGATACCAACAAAGGAATATGCCAAAGTATAATATCACAAAGAGTTGTGATATTGTAGAAAAACAGTCTTGTATACCTTGCATATTTTTTCTCCTTTTTCAGCTTTCCAAATTTTGTATGAATATCAGGTCATTATTGATAAATGAAAGAGATAATGTAAAAAAAATAAAGATTATTTTGTGGCTTGATGATAATTTAACCTTTTTTCTGGTATATATAAGTAAAATTGTTAAGCACATGTAATAAAAATGTGCAGTTAGACAATGCTATGAAGAATAGCAAAAACAATCCTTATAATTTTTTCTTATCAATTACAAGAAAAATTATTTTGCAAGAATTGCAAGAAAAAATTGTTTTGCAAATAAAACTACATAATTTTACTACATTTTGAAAGTCTAATGTTAAAAATGTATATGGATGAGGATGACAATTTCTAATGAATTAGAAGAAACGGTAATTGGTTTTAAAAGTTTCTAAGGTTTTTCTGTTTTTGGACTTTCTTCTTTTCTTCCTTTAAGGTGGTAACTTAAATGAGGATTTATGAGAGAAAATGGGTCTAAAAGATAAAAATAGCCTAGACTTGCTTTTGAATCTCACCTTGTATCTCCAGGTTGCAGAGCTTTAATTCTTATCAAAGTGAGATCGACCCTCTCTTTAACCCTTTTGGGCAAGACAAGAAAGCAGGCTAGATTGTGCTTGGAGTGCAGAGTCAACCAGGGAGGCACCCTGCACTCTTTAAGAAGAAGGCTTACGCCCCCACCAGACAGGCCACGTTAAAGCCACAACTGCTGTTAGATATCAACCAGTGGTTTTGAAAGTATAAAGCCTGGAACACTTTACTCAAACACTTTATAATTTGATGGTAGAGAGGTAAAACTGATAACCCAGATGCTAGAGTATGAGGGGCCTAGAGAACACTGTATACCCCCTCCCCCCCACCAACTTCCACTTTTCTACTTTCCCTGGGGCTGGGCTGTGGGGAGAGGATTGTGGGGGATATGGAAGCCCCTTAAAAACACCACTCTGATCCAATCTCCTCTTCATACTGATAGGAGAAAATGAGACCAGATAAAGGCAGTGAAATGTTTAATGTTACACATTGCCAGATTAAAATTGTTCAGCTGACTCACTCATAAAATAATCACAGTTTTCTAATGAGAGGATCAAAAGTATATGTTGGTAAAATACTAAAGAAAGTAACAATAAAAAAATTACTAAGAGAAGTGAGGCCCCAATTTTGAGATTAAAATGCTATCACCCAAACTTACTCTTCTTGTACCAAAGGAAATTTTATAGCATAAATACAGCTTAGGAAACAGAATTTTCTTTTTTTTCTTCAATTTGGACTTTTTTTTTTTAATCAGAAAATTTTTTGGAAAAATTTTAAACATAATGAGAAGTATAGAGAACAACATAAAAAACTACTATGGACACATTTTTGTTGTTTTGTTGTTTTCTTTGCCTCTGATATATAGATATACACATACACACACAAGCACAGTGTGTGTGCGTATGTGTGTGTGTGTGTGTGTGTATAAATGAAGTCCCCTCTGTATTTCTTTTCAGCCCAATTCCTCTCTCCCCTTCTCAGAAGCAAACAAACTCATGAATTTAGTCTGTATTCTGATAATACAATAAGTATATTTGTTTGTTTGCTTGTTTTGCCCATATAGTTTTTATTATCAAAATATCAATTAAACTTAGGCAAATTTTAACATAGTTGTTAATATGCCTGCCTTAAGATAACAAAAAAATTTAATTGCTGACAGAGGCAACTTTAGTGACTTCAAATCTTTGAACTAGATTCCCAAAAATAAAGACGCTTTGGATTTCCTAAAATAACTATTATAAACACTACTACAGTTTTTTAAATTTTATTCTTTGGATCCTATGCAGGGCCTGACTGACTCAAACTTACCATCCATCTTCTTGAGTGTGGGTTATTGGTTAACTGAGATAGAAGATAGAAAACCCTGTTAAAGTCAGAGCTGAAGAAATCAGGCATGACAGCAGAGGTGACAACTGCTGTCTAATATTGAAGGAAACAAAAAAAACCCACAGAAATTAGTTTTCTGCATACATGGTATTGAATAGAGAAAATGTTAAATTATGCTAACTAGGCAAAGATATATTTAAGAAAGATTTACATAAAAAATAATTGAGATTTATAAAAATTTCTAATGCACTGGGGCTCTGGTATAGTCCCAAAGTCAAGTTTTGTATGCTGGCTCTATCGTTTACTTTTATAGTTGGATGACTTAATCTCTCTGTTCCTCCCAGTAAAATGGGACTAATAATAGTACCTACTGCACAGAACTGTTGTGAAAATGAAATGAGAGAATCCACATAAGATGAGGAACAGAGCCTGGCACAGAGTAAACACTTAATACCTGTTAGCTGCTAGCAGTAGCAATAGTAGCAGCTACAGCAAGAGCAGTAATAGTAGCAGTGGTAGTATATTTGAAAAACTGGCACATGGGGAAGACTTCATAACCTGGTATGTGAAGAGAGCACAAACTCTGGAGCTTCACTCTTTCAGCTGGGTCTCCTGAACTCCTTTACCATCTGGGTGGGCCTGGGGACAAGGACAGCACAGAGGTTCTGTGGCTGCTATGAGGGTTCAGTGGGTATGGAAGGTGCTGGGTGTCACACACACAGACAAGCTCGATCAACATCAGCAGTTACAAATATTTCAGATAAACATGCCTTATATTCTGTTTTTGAAGTGCAGCATCAAGCTCACAGTTTCCTCACAGTAAGAAGTCACGGGAAGCTAGAAAAGGATCTAATTGCACTTCTTAGTTTATCTAGGAACAATGTGCCCAGATTCAGAGAGACTATGCAATCTTGTAAATACAGCCCTATCTAGACACAGCTCTGCAGGAGTAAAAGGAAACCCAAAAGGTGGGCTCTTCTTCCTTGAAAAGGGTGGCTAAGTTTCCTCTGAAAGTCTTACTAAGATCATCAAGAAAGGGAGGCCTAGAATATTACTCTTAAAAATGGACCAGTGATTCATGGTAAGTGCATTATCGCTCCGAAGCACTTTCACACACAATAACTTACTTACCTGGTCGGTGCAGCGACTCTATGTGAAAGGAGGCCCAATCCCTATTTGTCAGGGAAGGAAAGTGAGGTACAGATTGTTCAAGTGACTTGCTCAAGTTACTGTATTACAACAAGGAGAATCCACTGCATTCTTGTTTCAAGTTCAGGACTTTGATTACCCATGCATGACCTTGTGGAATGTTATTTGCTGGCACGTATTTGCCATATGTGGGGACTGTTTCATTTTCCAGTTTCCTGTTACCTTAGTTGTTATGGTCAGCTTAACTCTAAATCCCACATCCTTACTACATCATATATGCAGTATGTATGCGTATGTACACATGCCCATGTATGTGCTCTTGTATGCATGCATACATGTAAGCACATGCTGGGAAACAACTGCATTTATTTTTCACATTTTAATTCTTTTTAAGTGTACTTTTAAAAGATGAACATCTTTGAAGACTGATGTGATTTAGCCAGTTTTGAGGGTGCTAAATCATTTGTTTGGACAGAATCCTGAGCAGTAATTCAGTCCCAATAGAGGACAAAAAAAGGTTTTTCACTTTAAAGGAACCATGACTTTTTTTTTCTGAAAACATGATCTAATTTCTTTTATAAAAGAAGTGCAAAAGAACTTTTGTTGCCATCTCCAGCTGTCAAGGGCCTCCCGTGCTTTTGCCCTGCAGCAAAAGGAAGGGACATCAGGTGACAGATCCCAAATTTCAACTAGTCACACAAATTACAGACCTTCTTATCATGGTGTCCTTTTGACCTTCTGCCTTTCCCCTACAATGAAGAATGAGACACAGTTTAAATCAAAAGGACTCTCATGGGCAATTTTACAAAACAAATAGAAGGCTCCCCCCGACCCAACCTCCCCCACTTCCCCCGCTGGGCCAGCCTGTTCCCTCTATCTGCGCAGGCAGGAGCTAATAATTGGAAAGACCTTTTCCACCCCAGACAAAGATGCTCTGCGTGCCAAGCCCTGTTTGCTTTAAAGAGTTTGACAAAGTAAATATTTACAAAAACAACTATAATCAGATGCCAACTACCACTTCTAGGGAACTTGGAGAAGTATTTACAAGAAAGGCCTTTTCCATATGGCAGCACACTGCATGGTGGCGGAAACTGACCAAGGGTCTGTACTGGCCCTACCATGAGGCTCGGCATATTGAAGTCTTTCTCTTAGCCCAGGACACCTCCCACAAAGTATATGAATGATTACATTTACCATGGAAGAGTCAATTCAGAAATATTGTACCAATGCAGGAGCACAGGAAAAAGTCATTAAAAAGTACTGCTTTCAGCAGTTTGGGAAAGCTTTGTGAAGTCAACACAGGAAATAAAAGCCAGGGCTAATTAGCATTCAGAAAACATGTCACAATTTTTAAAAGTTATTTTTCTTTTAGAGGTGAACTGCTGCCTGGCTAAAACCTAGTCATAATATTTGTATTACCTGTAGATCTGTTTTCTATAAAACTACGGGACCTGAGCGCTCCAACAGGATGAGAATCAAAACAGGTGCCTCCGCCTGTTCCCATTATGCACATTAGCCCATGGCCTCTCACAGCCTGTTAAACAGCTGAATTTGAAACAATAATGGTGCAGGCCAAACACTCGCCCGAAGGCCTGTCTGTCTTGGGATTTGGCCATTTACATTGATTTTTTTTCACCCACATTTTTCACGAAACACAAATATTTGCCATGGCAACTGGGGTGTCACATGACATGCTGCTACATAAATAGCCTGGAAATCTCTTAAGGGGAAACAGCCCACCAGTGCTGAAAATACAGTAAAAAAACTCTTGATGATTTGGGCCTTAAAAGAAGATGATCTGGGAAGAACAGGTAACAGTCTACTATGGAGACATAGTAGGATTAATTTCTCCTGTGCCAGTTTTCAATTTCTCTTCTTTTCTTTCCTTATGAGAGTAGCAGAGAACACGACCACATAGGGTAAGCCAGAAAAAGACACTGCCAGCTGCCTCCTTTCTGTAGTGAAAAGTTTCAATTATCACAAGTCTGTCTGGGGCCCATAAACATAGGAAATCAAGCTACAAAAGTCCAGCATCTTCAACATGCAGGAATACCCATGAGGATGAATTATGTAGTATGAGGTCCTAATGTTAAAGAATACAAAATTCCTTCTCTTCTTCATTAAGGTATTCTCTACAAAGTTGGAGATCTTACCTTCTTAGCCTATGCTTAAACACAAATAAAATACAGTAGAACCTCACAATAACATATCCTATGTAACACAAATTTGGATATAAAGCACTAGCTACTATATCCCGGACTCCTGGACTCCTGACCAGCTAGCAGTTCAGATTGACCCAGTCATCTAATTAATCTCACAATAGGCAAGATGATTGAATTTTTTAAATCCCACTGATAGTGTTGAGGTAGAGGTGACTTGTGCAACACCCCGCACCCTTTTAAAATCCAATGCATCCTGGCAGCAGCTGAAATAGCACTTATTTCTATGTGAAAGGCACATCTCTATAACGTGTGTATATCACCAAACATCTCACAGACAATATTGTAAATAAGGACATTTTTCTTTCTGTAGTTAGAAATATGAATATACCTTTGATCTTTGTTTCTTGGGAGAGCCCTTCACTTCTGCTGGAGGCTGCCGTGGTTTCTGAGATTCAGCAATGGAGCCTGTGGATGGAGGTGGTGCAGTGTTACCTTTTTCAGGAGAGGCTGAGGCATGGGATGGATGCTATTGGGTTTGCACCTTGAAAGTCAAACGGCTTTGTCACCCACTATTGGCTCACTATCTGTCTTTCCTGTATCCATTCAATGAAACATCCATGATCATTGACTTCAAAAGGAAAGCCAAAGGCATGGAAAGGCAACATTGTATTCCATCAGAAAACAAGGTCGGCCTGCCTTATGCAAACTGCCCTGATGAAAAGGCAAATTTTAAAAGCAGGTAAATTAGAATAATATTTGCCTTACTAAAAGCTTCGCTATAAGAGTTCTTCGAATAACCAGATTCCCAAGTTCATGTAAAGGTAATTAATATAGCTACATATGATGGATTATTCTATTGTGTAGCCAATAAAAAAGATTCTAAAAATTTAAATGACTTGGGGAAGTGATACAAGCAAAAAGCACTGTAAAGAGTATTTTTAGAATTAATTAAATCTGTAAGTAACAGCTTTTGGAGAACACAGCTAGTCCACAGGGAGTGGACCTACATGCTAGACAGTACTTTCCCAGGGCACCTCTCCCGTTGTCTGGAAGCAAACCTGACTGCCCTTTACAAACAACCCAAGTCCGACAGTCTCGGGAGAGAAAAATTCATACACTACTCATTCCAAGAAAGAGAACAAATAATTTTATTTAAATAGTTAATTGAACAAAAGAAGTGAGGTTTCTTTCAACTCAATCCCTTCAACTCCAACCCCCTTTTTTGTCGCTTGTTCTGTAACAACAGTCTTAGAAGGAATTGACAGATATTGATCAAAACCAGCAAGAATATCAATATGTAATTTAGAATCTCACTTTCAGGACTTACTTCTTTCAGATTGTCTCAAGTGGGCTACCAGGAATATCTCCAGTCATCTTTTAAAAAGTAGAAAGAATTGCAGAGCCTTATCACTGAAACTCACCTTTGCAAAAGGGATTTATTTGTTGCGTATGACCAACCAACCCAGTTTTACACTTCTCGGGTTTCCATGGCTTTAGGCAACCCTCCCTCCTAATCTGTTGTAGTCCTCATATTCCCCTGGCCAGTGTGTGGTAATGTATGAAGACCTCATTTTAAGCCTGTAACTTTTTGCCTCGACTTCTGTACTCTCCTGCCCTGGTGTCCACTTTGGACTTTGCTCTGCCATTTCTGAAGGTAAATTTACACCCTGCTCCCAGGCTGCTTTGAATCCACAGATTCACCAGGAAAACTTGTTATTCCTATTGTTTGCAGACTCATTATGCCTTTTGTTTAACTTTCAGGTTCCTGCAGACAAGTGAGATTTATGGCTAAATTCCCATATTGAAACAAAACAGCTGCTGAGAAGTTTTCAAGTGGGCATAACTTTTAAAAGATTTTTGCAAAATTCAAATACAATTTGGTAGGTTAAAGATCTCAAAGATTTGTAATTTGACATGGCTAATCCACAGTTAACAATATCTCTAGGAATTTTCTCAGTTGCCTGCAGAAATGCTATCACTACATTATCATTTCATGTAGCCTTGGATTTTATGAGACACATGCATTTGAAGAATGTGTCTGCATCTTTAACAAAACTGTATCCTAAGGCACTGCTTATTTTGCTACTCAATTTCCCCGCTGGAAAAATCTGTATAATAAATTTTGCCAGAGTTAATGTCAGGAAATAAAAAAACCAAACCAAACCCAAACACCTTGTCTTTTTGGACAACTTTGCTTGCTTCTGTGGTAGTTACTGATACTTGCCTGCCAAGTAGCCATCTCCCTTTCTTCCTTGCTAATTTTAGAACCTAGGTTTTTTTCAGGGTGACAATATGCCCAGCTGCTAGGGTTGTCAGATTCAGCAAAAAACTAAAGGACATGCAGTTAAATTTTAATTTAAGATAAACAATAAATAATTTTTTAGTATAAGTATGTCTCAAATATTAAATATATTTAATATCCAACAAAGAACAGAATTTTCATGAATGGGTTAGAAGACTAAGCATAAATGATCTCGCTAAGTATTTAGTATAACTATGTCACTAATTCTAACTCTAACCCTATCCCAGGACATTCACTTCCCCAGTCTTCCTTGTAGCTAACAGTGGACATGTGACCAGTGAGATGTAGGGGAAAGTTTACCCAGAGGCTACTGGGAAGAAACTGACACCACTATTTCTCCCTTCTTCCTGCCTGGAGTGTGCAAGGAAGGCCCAGATCTGCAGGAGCCATCTTACTGCCATGAGGTGGCAAGTAGGAGGATGCAATCAAACATGCTAAAGAGGGTAAAGCAGAAAGAGCATCATGACAACCCTGCTGATCAGTGCCACCATCCCTAAAAATCCCATCCTTACTTCCCAATTTCTTGTGTGTGAGACGAACTCCTCATTGTTTAAGCCACTGGTAGTTTTCTGATATTTGCAGTCACATGCATTCTTGACTGGTACCTGTTCCCCTTCCTCCCTACCTCCTTTCTTCTTCTCTCCCTTCCACTCTTTGTCTTACTGCTTGCGCTAGGGCCTCAACTACAATATTCAATAATGGTAGCAACAGTGATCATCCTTGAACTGTCTCTGCTTTTAATGGAGAAATAGAAATGGAATGTTTCCAAAGTTTCCCTACAAAGAATATCTGTTGCTCTGGGGTTTTAGTTGATCACAACAATCAGGTTTAGAAAATTCTCTTCTACTCTACTTCACCTAGAGGGTTTTTCCTTATCATTAATGTTGAATAGTACTGAATTTTTTTTTCTTTTGGCATATATTGAGATATATAATTATCTCTATTTTTTCCTCTCATGTCAAGCAGGTATCCCTCCCCCCGCCCCCCAATATTATGTTTTTTAAAGTCAGGCATATTGAGTTATCATGGCAAAAAACAATATTAGAGACAAAGAAGGACACTGCACAATGATAAAAGTTTCGATTTACTCGCAAGATATAATAACTACAGTAAGTTGGTAAAACTCTTTATAGTTAAAAAGTAATATTCACCCTTTATATATACAGTCTTATGCATTTTGACAAATGCATACAGTCATGGAACCATCACCACAACCAAAACATAAAATAATTCCAATACCCACCAAAATTACTGAGTGCCCTTGTACAATCAACTACTCCCTTCATCCCAAGGTAACCACTGATCTGTTTTCTGTCTTGATTGTTTCATCTTTTTTAGAATGTCATATAGATTTAATCATATACTATTTAGCCTGCTGAGTTTGGCTTCTTTCACTCAGCATAATGCATTTGAGATTCATCCATACTGCTACATGTGTCAGTAATCTGTTGCTTTTTAGAGTGGAGTAGTATTTCATTGTACCAATGTACTTTGATTCATCAATTGAGGTAGAAAATACCAATGAAAAAAAAATTCAAACACCTAAATAAGTGGAAAGGTTAGCTGTACTCATAGATTAGAAGACTCAATATTTTTATGATGTTAATTTTCCCTAAATTGATCTATAAATTAAATGCAATCCCAATCGAGATTTCAGAATACTTTTTGCAGAAATCAGGAAGCTGATTCTAAAGTTGTGTCGGCTTTTGCTCTTTGTTTCTTGTTTTTGAGACAGGGTCTTGCTCTGTCACCCAGGCTGGAGTGTAGTGATGTCATCATAGCTCACTGCAGCCTTGAACTTTTTCAGTATGCAGATCTTGTACGTATTTTTTAGTTTTATACCTAAGTGTCTAATTTTTGGTGTTATTTTAATGGTATTGTTTTTTAAAATTCAATTTGTGATTGTTTCATCTTTAGTAAATTGAAATTCAATTAATCTTTTATATTAGTCTTACACCCTCAAGCCTTGCTAAACTCCATTATTAGTTCTAGTAGCTTCTGTGTGTGCGTGTGTGTGTGTGTGTGTGTGTATTCTTTGAGATTTTCTATGTAGTAATCATACTGTTTACAAAGAGATAGTTTTATTTCTTCCTTCTTAATCTGCATGCCTTTTGTTTCTTTTTCTTACCTCACTGCAGTGGCTAGGGCTTTCAGTACAATGTTGAACAGAAGCAGTGAGAGTGGACAACATCCTCGCCTTGTTCCTGATCTTAGGGAAAAATCATTCAGTCTTTCACTAATTAAGAAAATTAGTGGTACATGTCTTTTATCAGGTTGAGGAAATTCCCTTATATTCTTAGTTTTCTTGGGGTTTTTAATACAAATGGATTTTTTTTAAATTGAGATGGTTATATGATTTTTATTTTTCAATCTGTTAATATAATGACTTACATTTATTGATTTTTAAATGTTGAAACAGCCATGCAGTTATGGGGTAAATCCCATGTGGTCATCATGTATTATCTTTTTAAATATATACATTCCAATTTGATAATATTTTGTGAAGGACTTTGGCATCTATTTTCATGAAGCATATTTGGCTGTAGTTTTTTTTCTGAAGTCTTTGTGGTATTAGGATGATGATAGCTTTATAAAATGGTCTAGGAATGTTTCCTCCTATTTCTGAAAGAATTTGTGTAGAATTGATAATATTTCTATCTTGTTTGGTAGAACCCACCAAACAATATGTATCTAGTGTTTTCTTTCTTACAAGATTTTTAAGTACATAGCAATTTCTTTAATATAGGACTAATCAGGTTATCATCTATTTCTGTCTTTCAAGGAATTCACCCATTCATCTAAGTTGTCAAATTTATGAGTATCATAAATTTTTCTAAATGTTCCCTTATCATCCTTTAAATGTCTATAGAATTTATAATGATATCTCTTCTTTCACAAATATAGTCATTTGTGCCTTCTCTTTTTAAATCTTGGCTAGTCTGGCTAGAGGTTTATCAATTTTATTGATATTTTCTATGAAACAGAGTTTGGTTTCACTGAGTTTCCATTTTTTTTTTCTATTTTCAATTTCACTGACTTCTATTTTTATCTCTATTATTTCCTTCCCCTGTTTGCTTGGGCATACATAATTTGCTTTTCTTTTCCTAGTTTCTTAAGGTGGGAGCTTAGATCATTAATTTGAGATCTTTCTTCTTTTCTAATA